TTTTTTTTTTTTTTTTTTTTTGAGGAGTGAGTATCAAGGATTGGATCTAGGCCCCCAACTTTTTTTTTTTTTTGAGACAGGGTCTTGCTATGTAGTTCAGGTTGGCCTTGAACTCACAGTATGGCCCAGGTTGGCCTTGAATTTGAAACCTCCTTCCTCAGCCTTCTGAGTAGCTGGGCTTACAGGCTTGTGCCACAGCACCTGGCTCTTATTTTTATATTTACTTCTCTATTGTTTGTTCTTTCTCCTTTATCCCTTCTCATGTCCCTGCTGCTGTTTAGTCCTTTATTTATTCACAAACAGTACTTTCATGGCAGCTTTATGCCTGGTACCGTACTGGATGTTACTGATACAGCATGTACAATATGGAAATAATATTTATACTAAAGGAAGTTAAAGTCCTGGAGGAAAGATGACAAGGAAATAGACAATTATAAAACACCATGAACAATTCTGTATGGGCACAGAATAAACTAACCCATTGTATTGATGAGATTAAGGAAGACACTTCCAGATATGAGAACTACCAAGCATTTCCAGTTTAGGCAGGAACCATTATGTTAAGATCCCAGGGGTGGCAGGGTCTGGAAATGTTATTGTCTTAAGTGAAAATAAGCAGATGGTAGACAGAGGAGCTGGTAACTGAAGCAGGCCCATAGGATAGGTAATGATTGAGAGGCTGTCAAAGTCCTCATCGTCTTGGTTAAACTGAGGTTTCCCAGCTCATAACCTGGTACCTATGGCTTCCCAGAGAGGAATAAGCAAGATGGAGAAATATACCTCTGGCTTTGATAAGTGAGAGTTCTCTCCATCTGACTGGAGAGACTGTGGAAGTTCCCCACATTTGCAGCCAGGATCCTTTTAACCCTGTTATTTCCTTTGATGAGACCTTAAATAAATCAGTTCCCTCTTCCTTAGAAAGGCCCTTCAGAAATCTAAGCATTTTCTTCTAAGCCCAATTTGCCTTCCCTCCTCCCAGGTCTCTCCCAGGCCTACATTCAAGAGTAGATGATGATAATTACTTGTTGAATGAATCACGAGGTAGCATCTAAACAGAATATATACCCTTATAAGCCTATACTCACCTTATGCATATATTGAAAGGTGAGAAAACGGAGGTGGGGCATCTGGATCTCTCCAGAACTGAGGAAGTTTTTGTTTTTTAAAAAATCCCTATTACAGTTCAGAAGTGACCCTCCCCTTCTCTTCTGAGTACGTGCAATTTTAAAACTACAAGTCCCATAAGGCCAGTCTTCTCCAGTCGCCATCTTGACACATCTTAGCGCGCATGTCGCCGGGAGAGGGAGCATTCTGAGATAAGAAGCCCCGCCCCATGTCAGCTTATTGGTCAAAGGGGCCGGCGGCGGGCTCACCGGTTGGCCATCGCGCCCGCCCGTCTGCCGCGTCGAACGGGGTCAGAGTGCGCGGAGGTGAGTCGGTGTGTTGTGGACTCGTGGTGCTGGCTGCCTCTGTTGAGGCGG